GTCAGCACCCTTCCGGGACAGTGTCCTCAGGTGTGTTCTCTGGGAACATTTAGTTTCTTCAGAAGAGAATCTCCAGGTCCTGCCTGTGGGGGACCAGCCTGGCTGTCAGCACTCTGGAGGTGCTCTGGGGAGGGGGCCTCAGCGTCTTCTGTGGTTGTTTGTGGTTGTATTTTTTTGTTATTGTCGTGAGATATACACAGAGTAACCACGGTAACCATGGTTGCCACGGTAACCATGTTCAAGTGCACAGTTCGGTAGCAGTGAGTACGCTCACCTTGTCGTGTGTCCATCACTACCCTGCATTTCCACAACTTTTTCATCACCCCGGACCTAAGCTGTAGTAAGTCCCCAGCCCCCTGCCCTCCAGCCCCGGGCAGCCTCTGTTTTACTTTCCGTCTCTGAATTTGGCAAGTCCAGGTACCTCCGATAAATGGAATCATACGGCATTTGCCCTTTTGCGTCTGGCTTGTGTCCTCAGGGTCCGTTCCGGTTGTGGTGTATGTCGGGAGGGTCCCGTCTTCCCACCCTCAGCCTTCCTCCTGAGTCCTTCAGCCTGCACTTTACCCCCACCTCCACGGGGGCTGGCGTTCCCGAGCGTGGGCTTGTCGCCTTCAGTCTCTCCAGCGCCAACGTGGGCCACCTGCCAGGCAGGCTCCGGGTGCAGTCTGTCTGCGGCCACCAACGTCACCCTTCTGTTGAGTGTGCGGTGACTCCGTGTGGGAGTCCCCAGGGTGTGCCGGGAGGACACATCCTGCCTGTTGGTGGTGATCCTCTCGCCCAGGTGCTTCTGTTCCACGTGCCTGCTCCTGGCTCAGACCACATCTGCCTCCGGGTGACAAGTGTCTCCCGGTTTCACCAAATGCAGAGCTCAAGTCTCTATTTCTTGTTCTCCTTGTGTTTTAGGATACATTAAACGGGGGAGGGGGAGGAGGTGGGGCAAAAGATCCTTACTTCCCTATCCTAAAAGCAAACTGCAGTCATATTCATATATGAATTTTCTGAAGAAAATAGAGGGGATCTTTGTGGTTGGGGTTTTGTTTTGCTTTGCTCTTACAAAGAAAAAGGAAGTTTGAAAATGACAAAGTTTCCTGAAGCATCATGTCTTTCCTGGCTGTTTCTTTTTTGAATGTTTGTTTATTTTGGTGAGAGAGAGAGAGACAGTGTGAGTGGGGGGGGGGGGGGGGAAGGGCAGAGGGAGACACAGAACCTGAAGCAGGCTCCAGGCTCCGAGCTGCTACTGCACGCGCAGCCCAGCAAGCCTGGGGAATCTGAACTCAAAACCGGTGAGATGGAGGCCCGAGTGATGTCGATGATGTAACCAGAGCCACCCAACCAGGCCTTCCAATGGCTGTTTTCTTACCAGACACGTCCAGCGTGTGAATTGGATTCAGGGAATTCATCTGCTGTGAATACTCACCTTGGTCACAGACGGTGCTCAAAAGAAAGAGAAAAAAACCTGCCCTTTTTTGGAGTGAGCTAGGGGTGGGAGGCTGTGGTCCCATAGCAGCTGCTACTCCCTCGCTCACACGCACAGAGGGCCCCTTGTCTCTAAAGACTCATGGTCTCCCAGGCTTGCGCCTTGGCGTTGACTCGGTTAAGCGTCGACTTCAGCCAGGTCACGATCTCGCGTCCCGGAGTTCAAGCCCCGCGTCGGCTCTGGATGCTGACCCTCGTAAGCCTGGGCCTGTTCCGATTCTGTGCTCCCTCTCTCTGCCCCTCCTGTTCATGCTCTGTCTCTCTCTGTCCCAAAAATAAATAAAAAACGTTGAAAAAAAAAATTAAAAAAAAAAAGACTCATGGTCTCTGGGGCCTGCTGGACTCCCATTCAGAGGGGAGAGAGTTGCTAACTCTCCATTCCTTTTCTGTTCTCGGCTGCGCTGCGTTTTTCTCCTCCCTGTGCTCCTTCACCAACTTTCAGTCTCTGCTAATTCCTACCCACTCCGGATTTCACTTCCTGCTCCCCACCCACCTCCCTCTCCTTGAGGGCATCCTCCCCGCTGGGCTGCGTGCCCTTTGAGGACCAGACTCTGTCTTAATCATCTCTGCGTCTCTCAGAGCCTAGTGCTAGCTTTTCCGTCACCAGCCAATGGGTGTTTGCTTTCTTTAACCTCACACAACAGAGCAAGGACCAAGTATCAGGTTTAACCTTGCGGTCTGGTTGAAGTCTCCCTGCCCCCCCTCCCTTTCTTCCCTAAGACTCGTCATTCGATAGCCTCGTTGTGCTTCTTGATTTACGTGGGCACTCAGATTTCTCTCTGGTCCTCTTATCAAGTCAAGTTCCCTCAGGCAGGATGGAGCACACCTGGCCTTTATGTGCATCATGGAGAGTTCTTCAGAGTTTAGGAAAACAGAGGAGAATGAGGAAAGAAAACTCTGCAGTGAGCCAAGCGGGCGCGGGCTAGAAAATCATCTCTTCTGTGGGCACGTTCTGACCGTTTATTCAGCTAGGGTTTCTCCAGGCGGAAAGCAGAAGAGAGGGGACGCCTGGGTGGCCAGTCGGTTAAGTGTCCGACTTTGGCTCAAGTCTTGATCTCATGGTTCGTGGGTTTGAGACCCGCATCGGGCTCTGTGCTGACAGCATGGAGCCTGCTTAGGATTCTGTCTCTCTGCCCCTCCCTGACTTGCACTTTCTCCCTCTCTCAAAATAAATAAATAAGGGGCGCCTGGGTGGCTCAGTCGGTTAAGCGTCCGACTTCCGCTCAGGTCTTGATCTTGTGGTCCGTGAGTGGCTCTGTGCTGACATCTCAGAGCCTGGAGCCTGCTTCAGATTCCGTGTCTCCTTCTCTCTCTGCCCCTCCCCCACTTATGCTCTGTCTCACTTTGTCTCTCAAAAATAAATGTTAAAAAAATGTTTTTAATAAATAAACTTTAAAAAAAGTGAAAAACGTATTCCTAAGAAGTTTGCTGGTCCAGCTGCCGTTTTCTATCATCCTGGGTGTAATCCTCCTGCCAGGATCGCAGAGCCTCACCCAATGCCCAAGTAGAAGCAAATACAGAGATTTCAACTGAAATTTATCCAAGTGAGCTTGGCTAGTTACAAGAGCCAGAGCAATGCTGAAGTCACATAATTTATGGAGACTGGAACCCCAAATGAATAGAGTGTTGCACATCGGTCCCTTGGCTTCAAGCAATGAGAATAAGTTGAAGTCTTTCCATTAGAACATTCCTGTTACACAAATATCTGAAGCTAGTGTTTCAAAAGACTTGAGCAAAATTAATTCACCGTGTAAATAAACAACTTTCAGGAGATCCTAACTATTATAAGGTTGGCTTGGATCTTTCCATTTCAAAGACAAGGACTTTTCCAAGACTGAAATAATGATGTCTTCTTTCAAGGGTTTAAAATCCATGCAGGGCCTTCAGCCATTGTGTCCTTAGAAAAAGAAAGGTTAGTTCAGGGCAGAGGAGTTCAAAGGTCGCCGATCATGCCCCACGGTAAGAAATAAACAGAAAGTCCGCTCCACAAACAAAACAAAAGTTTTCACAAAATCGCACTAACTTTTACTACGTGCCGGGCATTCTGATCTTTTCTATTTTATTCTGTTATAATGTATTTTTAAAAACTGGTAGCTCCCTAAAAAAAAAAAAAAAAAAGGTCAATTTGTTGATCTCAAATCAAATGTATGTAGTGACCCACAATTTGAGAAACACTGATCAGAGAATAAATTCACAAGAACGCTCTGTTTCAAATCTGGTCAAAGACCTTTCACTTCTAGCTATCTCTTAGAACCTTCTCAGTGACCGCCCCTGGTAAGACCTATGGCTAATGGAAAGGAAATTGTTGTAATGAATGGAACTCCTCGTATGCCGGGTATCAGATGCTACGTGGAAACATTCTGCATGACTCAGCTTTTTCCCTACACGGTAAGGTATCCACACAGTCGGCAAAACATACAGATGTAGATACCCCATTTCAAACACGGAGGGAAATGTTCTTTTTTCTTCCTTAAAGCTGTTCTCAGGGTCAAAGATGGACAGTTGCCCACATGAAAGGCCACCCTTCACACGACGAACACTCCCCTCACTGGACGTTAAGAACATACACATTCTAGAGTCAGTGTGAGCTCTGCACTGAAGTCTTTTTAGGGGACAATTTCATGATTGGGACATAATCCACTGGACTGGCTGATTTAAGGATTTTGACTTCCTTTAGTAAACCTATGTTGAAAAGCTGATTTGAAAAAACTACGTTGGTACGAGATAACGTACACGAGGATGATTTTTTTTGGTATGTGTATTACAGGTAGAAGTTGGAAAAAATACCGCAAAAGAAATGGAGATTGAGGGTTAGAATTGGGTTTGGCTAGATCATTTAAGGCCAGTCAAGTCCATTATCCTTTTGCCATTCAAAGAACCTGCTCTGTCTTCTGCTTCTCTCGTTTGCCCGTTTTCACTCTGGCAAACCGAATGCCGTCTTGATCCCCTTCGTAGTAAAAGTTATGCGTTATTTAGTTGCTTACCGAACCCTCCTTAGCCTCCCTATCCATTTGCAAGGGCTGCTGTAACGAAGTACCGCAGCCTAAATAGCTCAAACCACAGAAAGGAATTTTCTCACGGTTTTGGTGGCCGGAAGTCTGCGACAAGATGCTGCCAGGCTGGGCTTTTCCTGAGGCTCCTCGTTGGCCTGGAGAGGGCCATGTTCTCGCTGTGTCTTCGCGTGGCATTTCCTCGGTGCCCACACGTCCCTCGTGTCTCTGGGTCCTAATCTCCTCTTATAAGGAACATCAGTCAGATTGGGTGAGAGCATACCCTCAAGGCTTCATTTTAACTTGATTACCTCTCTCAAAGCCGTATCTCTGCCCCATGGTCACGTTCTGAGATGGAGGGCTAGGACTTTAACGTGTGAATTTATTTGGGGGCCGGGGTGGGGGACACAGTTCAGTCCATGACAGCGTCTACAGTTCGCTTCAAGAGTGGATGTAGGATGCCGGGAGCGGAAAGACCACTCCAGTGCTCGACCCTCGGTCAGGTTGCTAAATGGTACATTTCTTTTGCTTTAGGGCGAACTAATGCCGACGTGATGACCGCCCTGTCGCAGGGCTACCGGATGCCCCGCATGGAGAACTGCCCCGACGAGCTCTATGACATCATGAAAATGTGCTGGAAAGAAAAGGCAGAAGAGAGGCCGACGTTTGATTACTTACAGAGTGTCCTGGATGATTTCTACACGGCCACGGAAGGGCAGTATCAGCAGCAGCCTTGACGCCCAGGGAGGCTCGTGGCCATCGGCTGGGACGGCTGCCTCATTCGAGAGGAAAACATGACCGTCGCTGGTTGTGCTAGTCTTTCATATGCTAGGATCATCTACCGGCCCTGCTTCCTGAAAGCGAGGCCAAGTTACTCAGGAAGAACACTCTCGACATGGGCAAGTATTCTCTTTCTCATCGGCTGATGCCCACCGGCAGCCGCGCGGACCGCACCCAGCCGGCAACCTTGCTTCGCTAGACCGACGTCTGCCTTCGGAGAAGAAGCCACCTGTTCCGTCCAACGGGCACCCACCTCGGCCTCTTGTTTACAACTCGATGTGGGACTCATGGGCGCAGAGGCCCTCTCAGTGAATCTCAAACAGTAGCAGAGTGAAACTCATTCCTAAAAAGCGAAGTAACCAGACGCAGATCACGACCCTCGTTTGCATTTTCTCTCTGCCTTGGCTTATCTGTTAAAAAGAAAAAAAAGAAAAAAAAGAAAAAAAAAATTACTAATCCGATTGTTACATTTTGCAGCTGAAGTCAGAAGGTTAAAATGGTCTCTCCCAGATTGCAGTGATTTCCCCTGCCCTTAAAGTCTGAGGCTGTTAAAGATTTTCCTTCCACGGAGACGGCTGGGAACTCCCAGACACGAAGCGTGCTCTCCTGTTCTGTTTCCTATAGGAGTGTGTGTGGTTTGTGAGTGTGCACAGATGTCGTGTGTCGCCACACAGACCCCACCGACGGCCAGGGCTGGCCCAGACCTCCCAGGAAAGAGAGAAGAACCAAAGGAACTGCTGTACCCTCAGAAGGAATATTTTGAACGGCCCAGCTTTTCAATTCCCCAGTTTCCTATCTGAGAGACTTTTTTGACCATGTACTTTGGGTCAAACAATAAGATTCTAATCTCTGCAGAGCCTTATAAAAGGCCTTCTAAGACATAAGAATTCTCTTTATTGCTTCCAATGATTTGAACGTTATTTTAACGATGGAATGTTCATTTTCGTTGTACTCGAGAAAGTAAAAACGCCATATTTGGGTCTATTTTTGTGATTCATCCATCTTTTCTAAATTGTGTAAGGTGTGGGTGGGACTATTTATACGAGGATACGAAAGGAACGGAAGTGACTGAAGGGCTCAAATGAGCTCCTGCAGCAAGGGAGACGAGAGGTCTTGTTTACTAAGTTGTTCTACTGTGAGCTTCGAATAGAAAATGCTACATCACATCGTGTTTCACTTATGCTGTTGTGTATATACCTAATATTGCTGTTTTCTTGATTCTATTTGAATACACCTGGCCCAGTAACATCTCAAGCTTTTTCCTTGTGTCCAACATTTCCAGCTATCATCAACGTAGAAATGAGTACCAGTTGGGGGAAAATGAGAGGCGATTCCATACAGTTACATCGTTTAAAAAGCTTGGACAAGGTCTACCTCCATTCCTTTGAGCGTCTCCAGATTGGAGAACTGGGACGTGACAGTCTGGCCCTCCCTTTATGGGGGCCAAATAGGATTTGTTTTCAAATAGGCTTAGCAGGCACCATTAGAATTTCATTTTGTGTGTGTCGCCTAGGTGTTGGGTACCTAGGGGAAGGGATAAAATATTCTCCTTTCCTGTGCAATCGTTTTTAAACGTCCTTTTTAAAATATTCTAAAGTTCTTGATTCACAAATGCCATACTCACGGAGGGAGAGTATTATCACCATAGAACGTCTGCACAGCTGATCACTTGATTCACCCACCTGTTCACATTTCATTTCAGAAATCACACGTATGACCCAGCATGTTCTATGGAGAGCAAGTGTAAAGAACCCCTAAAGCAGAAAGAAACGTCTAGAAAATTAGTAAGTTTATCTTCGCCCAGTTTTTCTTTTCTCAATTCTGCTTCCTTTCGCCATTTTACGGTCCACTTGTCCCTCCCAATCAAGCATGTGATCTTTTCCTCCATCACCTGGGGCCTCGTCACTCAGTTGCAGGATGTGCTCCCGTCACATCATACCCCGTGGACAGCATGGGTCTCTCCCCTTGTCAGTAGGATTCCAGCTGCCTCATGACCGGCAGGCAAAATGAGGGCCTGGGCATCTTTGTATCATCTTGGGGGGGGGGCGGGGGCGTGGACCAGAATGCCTTACATCATCACATCCCAGCTCATTACTGGGGACTTGAAAAGGAGCATGGCCTCAGGTCCCGCCATTGTTGTTCCGCAGGAGGGCTGTAAGTCACTGTGCTTGAGAGGCTTCCCCGGTAGATATCTGGTTTACCCAGGCTTGAGAGTCCCTCCCTTGCTTTGGTCCATAAGGCAAAGTTAATTGCTCAAAGGAAGGCCAGCCTGCACTTTCCTCAGATGCCCCCAGGGACGACAGAGGAATACAGGAGGAAGGAAGAGGGAAAATGTGCCTTTTTCCTCTTTTATGGCCACGAAGCTCACTGAATCCAGAGTAAAACTCATAGGCTTGACCCTGGTGTCCTCAGTAGAAGGGACACTCTATAGCCCCTCCAAGATGCCTCCCGGGATTCTGTCGGAACCTCCCTGGAAAAGCATACTGCCCAGGCCTCCTAGGGAAGATAATATACTGCGGAAGCCTGGATTCCTGTCCCAAGAGTGTGTAAAAGAGGCCAACAAAAGGAAGCACCATATTTATTTACTCAGGCAGTGGGATAGCTCAAGGGCACTGAAATGTAAATACAAACACATTTCCAATTTAGCCTCTGGTGATGGCTTTCCTTGTATCTTTTCCTTTGCTCAAATACAAACTACATTGGGGCAGTAGCTGCTGAAAGGCGCGCAGTACTGAAACACCAGCATCGGGGTACGCTTGATTGAATTAAAACAATTGTTCATCCCATAGCTGAGCTCCCTGGCCTCTATGAATGTTATTGCCACCTCCACAGCCCATTAGTTCCTTGTATTCTCAGATGAGATCTCACCACCCATCTTTCCTCCCAGGATCTTTGTTTTCTTAGCAGATTAAGTGACCATGAGCCTTGCCATTCTTCCTGATGGAAACGGCGGTTATAAACCTACAGAGATAACTATACACCCGCCAGTGGCTCGGCGCTCTCTTTTGTACTTGGGCACGTTGCAAAAATTACCTGTAACTCACGCCGCAACCCTTGAAGGTATGGCCCGTGCTATCGCTATTTAACGGCTGAAAACTCAGGTGCATTGAAGGCCACCGGAGGAATAGACTGGCTTCACATCATGTTGTTTCCTTGTGAGATAAGTGAAAGGCTTTTACAGCAGGACTCATTTGAGCATTCCAGGCGCGCAAAGGAATCACTTACAAATTGCTTCATTGGAGTCTGCGCAGGTATGAGGGAAAATTTCTGAGTAATTTTAACTTGAGAAGAGAGGTCAGACGAGAGCTCAACTCACTACTCACACCTTTTTAAAAAGACAGTTGAGGGGTGCCTGGGTGGCTCAGTCAATTAAGCATCTGACTTCAGCTCAGGCCATGATCTCATGGTTCATGAGTTCGAGACCCGTGTCAGGCACTGTGCTGACAGCTCGGAGCCCGGATCCTGCTTTGAATTCTGTGTCTCCCTCTCTCTCTGCTCCTCCCCCACTCATGCTCTGTTTCTCTGTCTCTCAAAAATAAGTACACATTAAAAAAAAAAAAAAGATGATAAAAAAAAACAAAGACGTTCTTTCCTAACGTGCAATTCAGACCATGTGGAAGCACTACATTCAATTCTGAACGCTCGATGGTGAATTCTCAAATCTGAACGGCTCTGGAAAAGTCATTTGGATGTGGGCTATGGGGTACGTGAGAAAGAATTGGGAGCATGTCAAGTGTGGAAGTCTTTGGGCAGTCGGGGAGAGCCACACCACAGACGTTTTGACGTAAAGGAGATAAATGGAATCATTTAAAAAACGTCTGCTCTGTCAGAGAATTCATTTTGAATCCTACTTTGTAAGACGTTTTATAAGTGGCTCAGCACACTCCTAATCTCTTTTTTGGCCTTGCACTTCGCTTTAAATAGGGTGCTTGGTGGGCTAACAGTAGTCATTCAATGCGGTGCTTTACCGAACACTTCCCTGAGGACAGGAAATGGAGCAGACGCCTTAGGGACATGGACGGTGAGTCTCAAATTCCTTGCTTTAAGGAGCCAAGTACAGGGATGCTACAGGTAATGCCAGAAACCTATCATGTGGGAAAAAAGAGGTGGAAAATGTGAAGATCATTCCGAGGAGAGATGGCGAAGCTGGTTACAGGAACAGGCGTGGAGATGAAGACAAAAGTCTTCGTAAAGAAGTGGCATCCGGGGGGCGCCTGGGTGGCGCAGTCGGTTGAGCGTCCGAC